GGACTCGAACCGGTGCTCATATGGGACGCTGGCACTGCAGGTGGCAGCTTTACCCACTACACCATAATGCCGGTCTCTTTACAAAACTTTTTATCAGTATGTTTTGCTTGATCCTGTCCCAACTCAGTGAGGATGTTGAAGTAGATGTTATCCCACCTTTTTTTTCTTTGACAACTATGATGAGCTTCAGAGAATTTTTCTACTTGTGCGCTGGTGAGTAGATGAGGGCCCTCAAGCACTGCACAGTTGGCTCCAGATTGGGAGCACAGTTGGGTCCATTCCCCTGCCCAGTGCTGGCTCTGCTTCCCTGAACAAGGAGTAGCTTTTATAAGCTCCAAGAGTTGGGCACGAGCTCAGCGGTCCCAGGGACTTTTCCTCTCACCAAGGTTTCCTCCTGCACTCCTGGCTCATGGGCCTGGGGGACTTCCTGGGGGACAGAGGCTGGAACCGGGGCTGGAAAGAGCAGTCTTGCCAGTTTCAACCTAGTTGGGGGCTCTGTGGAGACTTGGGGACCTGCAGTGATCCCCAGATTTCTTTCTTTCTTTATTTTTAAGATTTTTTTTTGACAGGCAGAGTGAACAGTGAGAGAGAGAGAGACAGAGAAAAAGGTCTTCCTTTGCAGTTGGTTCACCCTCCAATGGCCGCCGCGGCCGGTGCACCGTGTAGTGCAGTGCATCCTGATCCGATGGCAGGAGCCAGGTACTTATCCTGGTCTCCCATGGGGTGCAGGGCCCAAGTACTTGGGCCATCCTCCACTGCCTTCCCTAGCTACAGCAGAGAGCTGGCCTGGAAGAGGGGCAACCGGGACAGAATCCAGCGCCCTGACTGGGACTAGAACCCGGTGTGCCGGCGCCGCAAGGTGGAGGATTAGCCTAGTGAGCCTTGGCGCTGGCAAGATTTATTTTAAAGACAGAGTTACAGAGAGAGGTAGAGACAAAAAGGTCTTCCATCCACTGGTTCTCTCCCCAGATGGCTACAATGGCTGGAGCTGTGCTGGTCCAAAGCCAGGAGCTTCTTCCGGGTCTCCCATGTGGGTGTGCAGGGGCCCAAGGACTTGAGCCATCTTCTACTGCTTTCCCAGTACAAGGTGCAAAGAGCTAGATTGGAAGAGGAGCAGCCGGGACAAGAACCGGCGTCACATATGGGATGCTGGCACTGCAGGCAGCGGCCTTACCCACTATGCCACAGCACTGGCCCCAGGTTTCCTTATTTTAACCCACACCCTCAGGGAGCCATTTGTTGTACTTGACATCTTTGACAGACCTCGTCTTTCCAATAAGCCCTCCGTGCCCTCCTCCCCCCATCCTTTCCCATCAGAATCCAAGGATTCATTTCCATCAGTACCTCCAGGGCTGTCTGGCAGCAGAGTGCTCAGAAGAACTGAAGAGATTATAGAACGATTTAAGCAGTGTGACCTTGATTAAAATCACTCAAACTGTGTAATTTTATGGTTTCATAATTATTTTCTTGGCATTGTGCCCCAACTTGCGCTCATAAAAATACCAGGGCTTTGTCTTTCAGGATGTCAGATAAGGACTAATAATATGAGCATATAGGAGAGATCTCTGCAACTCCGGGACAGCCTAGTGTGAACTGAGAGTGGTGCCCTGACCACCTCCTAATGCAGATGGGTGAGCACTTCAAGGAGGAAGGGGCGATGGTTCGTTGTAAGGAGAACTGGAGGCAGCAGCCTAGGGAGGGGCCTTGTGCCTGGGTTAGCACACGGTTCTCACCCCCAGTCTTTCTGTTACTCACCTTCACACTTTGCCCCTTCCTCGTGGTCACACTCAAACATTTCAACGTGCTCACTCCATCAGTGCCTCTTCAGTTCCATCGCACAGGGCTACCTGGGCCTTTTCTGCGACTGGTGGATACAACACGCCTGCAGGTGTGTGCTTGGCTGCTCCACAGCCCAGCTCCCGCCACAATATGGCCACATCCTTAATGTCCCAGCCGTCATCACACACAGTGCCCCAGCGACCTTCCTGTTCCTTTCCCACCTGCCCTGCGCGGAGGTGGGAACCATTCCTGGAGCAGACTGTGAGTGGGGACTCTGCAAACAGAAAGGGGTGGAGCATACTTGGGAATGTACAGTTCTGCAGGCAGCCACCCGGTGTGCAGAGAGGTGGCTTGATGGTGCTGTGCTGGTGTGTGGTGTGGGGGTAAGGAGCCTGCCAAACTAGAGACCCCCAGAGCTCTGGCTCTGCTGTACCCCACGCCTATCACCTTTGACCACCTCACTCATCAATTGCCCTCCTCTCAATGACTCTTGGGAGGAGAGTCCTTGCCTTCACCCTGGAGATAAAGGCATGCAGGGACATAGAGACTTAGGTTTGATTCTCAGGAGCTTGAAAGCAATCTTAAACACAGAGAAGGCTAAAAGCTGATCTTTCCTAGAGCTGCAGGCTACGTTCTAGAACATGGAAAGGCCTAAAGTCAATTCGGCAGTCACAGGCCCATTTTCTCTGCAGGAGGCAAAATGGACATATTCACACAAACTAGTTAATGTCTCTAATCTGTGCCTCTTCTGTTCTGATTTTGTAAAACCAGAACCATTTGGAAGAGAGGTTCTCTAGGATCTCTAGCAGGAGGGGATGGATGCTAGGCCTAGAGCCTGGGTACCAGTGCAGCTGTGGTGGAATGCAGAGCAGAGTGGAGACAAGGAAGACAGAGCCTTGGATCGGCCGCATGTCCAGCCCTGGCCAGCCCTGGCCAGCCCTGAGCCCTCACACCACTTTGGCTTTTATAAAAAGGTCCAAACTAGGTTGTATGGGATTTCTGACATTTACAACCAAAATGCCCCGTATCACACTGTCCATTACTAAGATCATGGCAAAGCTCCTACAACAGAAGTTAGATTTAGTGGAATTATAGATAATAATGTGGATATGATTCTCAAAAATTAACAGATGAAGCAGATAAAACATTTATGTCTCTATAGATTGAATAAATCAAGCGGCTAGCTAAATTTAATTGAAAAATAGAGGACTTAGTATATTCCAAAAAGAAAGTTCATATTTTTTTCAAATTCCACATAGAACATATACATACATTGATTGTGTGTTAAATAATAAAGAAAGTCTCACTAATTTTCCAAAAGCAAAAATCATACAGGCCCTATAAGGATAATAAGGATAATAAAGAAATCTCTGAGAAATTAACAAAATAAGGGGCCAGCAACATGGCACAGTTGTTTAAGCCACAGCCTGCAATGCTAGCATTCCTTATGAGAACGATTTTGAGTTCCAACTGCTCTATTTCTGGTCCAGCTCCCAACTAATGTGCCTGGGAAAGCAGTGGAAGTTAGCCTAAGTGCTCGGGCCCTCCCACCCACGTGGAGGACCTGGATGGAGTTCCAGGCTCCTGTCTTCAGCCTGGCCCACCCCTCACCATTGCTGCCATTTGAACAGTGAACCAGTGGATGGAATCGCTATCTCTCTCTCTGTGCATGTCTCTCTTTCCCTCTCTCTGTAACTCTGCATTTGGAATAAACAAATAAATCTTTAAAAAAGTAAATTAAAAAAATAAAAAACAAAGCCTCTTTATAAGAAATTATAAGTGCCAGGCTACAAAAGATATGAACACCTGCATTACACATACTTTAGACATTAAACATTGAAAATGTCTCACACAATAAATTATAGAATGAGGTAACTATGGTTCTTAGAGGAAAACATACAGTTTTAAATGTGTTGATTAGAAAATAAATGGGTTTGGGTTTGAGGCAGCAGGTTAAGTCATGGCTTGGGACACCTGCATCGCATATCAGAGAGCTGGTTTGAGTCCCAGCTATTCCAGTTTTAACCTAGTTCCCAGTTAATGCTCCTGGGAAGGCAGTAGAAGATGGCCCAAGTACTTGGCTCCCTACCACCTACTTGGGAGATCCTGATGGAATTCCTGGCTCTTGCTTTCACCTGGCCTAACCCTGGCTATTGTGGGCATTTAGAGAGTGAAACAGTAGCTGGGAGATCTCTCTCTCTTTCTCTCTCCCTCTCTGTTACTCTGCCTTTCAAATAAATAAACACATCTTTAAAAAACCGCAAGTATATTTGAATCATAAAACACCACATTTGAATAATAAATATAAATCTAATTCTTTGGAAAGAACAAAAGATAAACCACTGGCAAAGCTGGTCATAGGAAAGAGATCACAGGGCCAGCGCTGTGGCACAGCGGGTTAAAGCCCCAGTCTGCAGCGCTGGCAACCCATATCGATACCGGTTCAAGTCCTGGTTGCTCCTCTTCCAATCCAGCTCTCTGCTATGGGCTGGGAAAGCAGTAGAAGATGGCCCAACTCCTTGGGCCCCTGCACCCGTATGGGAGACCCTGAAGAAGCTCTTGGCTCCTGGCTTCGGATCAGATCAGCTCTGTCTGTTGTGGTCATTTGGGGAGTGAACCAGCAGATGGAAGACCTCTCTCTCTAGCTCTACCTCTCTCTGTAACTCTGTCTTTCAAATAAATAAAATAATTCTTAAAAAAAGAGAGAGGGAAATCTCACAAACACATTAGAAATGAGAAGAGGCTTAATTACACATATGAAGGCTATTTTAAAATCAGATGAAAATATTCTGAATAATATTATCTGATAAATTTAAAAATCTTGGCAAAACTACTCATATTTTTGAAAAAAAAAACCTTTCAAATTGCATTTATAAAGGAGAGAAAATTTGAAAGGCTAATAAAAAAGAAGTTTTGATGATGGAGGTTAAAAATCTTCCAGGCTCAGCAAGTTGTCAGGGCTACTTCCAAAGACTTTTTTTTTTGGAACTTCTGAATAGATTGTTTAATAGCTTCACAGGTGTTCAAGCCATGCGTTTCCTATTAAAGGCCTCCTCCAGTCTAAGTCACTTTCCCATGCGTACCTCACCCAACATTTATCCTCGTTCTTTACCCATTTTTAGGTTTCCAGTTTCAAGATGAACAACTTAAGCTTGCCAAGTTGAATTAACGTTCACAGAGCCCTAATACTCCCCACTCCCAATCCACACAGCCATGCCAAGGCGGGAAGAGTGGGGGCCAAGACCATGCATATACAAAACTTAAGGTTTAACTTGCATGGATATCCTTTTCTACCATGGAAAGCCTATGGCACCACACATTTGAATGCTTGGCATAAAATACACACAACCCTCCCCCTAATCTGGCACATATACTCAGTACGCTATATAAAGCATAAATTTCCACTTTATTTTTCCAGAGAATAATTTTCCTTCTGCCCTTAAAGATTACACTCCTTACATGGGCCTTGGTGGAGGCTGTGGGGCAGCACCAGCAGATTGAAATCGGAGTGGTGGTGTCTGGTCCTTGTGGACGTCACAAGATAGATTTCTAACCACCTTGCTGTGAATGGTGCAACTCATACAATAACATAGCTTTGCATAGAGCTTCGGAAGTACGTAGGCATTGAAAACACTCTCTTTGGAGACGTCCCTGACGGCCGCGGCCTCCACTATGTTGCAATTGATGAACTTCTTAATGGCCTTGTCCTTGGGCACACAGTGAGCGCAGTTAGTGCAGCGAATAGGCTGCATGTGGCCGCAGCAGCCCTTTTTAGCATGGCCATTGTTCCTTCTTTTATTGGTCATCTTCGAACTGAGGACCTGAAAGAGCCCAAAGACTCTTTAAGGAGCAGAAAATCCTGATACTGTTTTCAATGACTGCAGAGCACAGGAATTATGGAAACTTCTGAAATCATTCTTAAGCCTGACCTAACCCTGAATCCAAAAATTCAATGAATATAGTTCAAAAAGGATAGCTTACTTACAAATAAGATACAAAAATTTAAAATAAAATATCAGCAAGTTGTATTTCTCTTTATCTCTTTCTGTTTCTTGATCTCTCTTTCTGTCACTCTGCCTTTCAAATAAATAACCTTTAAAACAATTTCACCAACCGGCACCGCGGCTCACTAGGCTAATCCTCCGCCTGCGGCACCGACACCGGTTTCTAGTCCCAGTTGGGGCGCCGGTTCTGTCCTGGTTGCTCCTATTCCAGTCCAGCTCTCTGCTGTGGCCCAGGAAGGCAGTGGAGGATGGCCCAAGTGCTTGGGCCCTGCACCCGTATGGGAGACCAGGAGGAAGCATCTGGCTCCTGGCTTTGGATTGGCGCAGCGCTGGCCGTGGCAGCCATTTGGGGGGTGAACCAACGGAAGGAAGACCCTTCTCTCTCTCTCTCTCTCTCTCTCTCACTGTCTAACTCTGCCTGTCAAAAAAAAATTAGAATTCTAATGTGAAGAAATAAACAGGAAACCTTGCTTTCACATTAGACTGGAAAGTAGCATGGCTTTGAGAATGCAGTAATTCTATAATGGGAAGGGGAGGTGATGCTTATATACCTAAGCTTGTAATTTTAAGCAAGAATGTTCCTCAGTTATTTAAGGGAGTCTCTGGAGTTGTCTCCTGGGATCCACGAACTCCCCAGAACTGTAACAAAATATATATAGGAACACTTCAAAAAGTTCATGGAAAGATGAAATTAAGAGATGAGCTTATTTTCAAATACCAAAAAGTATTTGAAATCAATGCACAATTTTCTCATAATATGCATTTTTATGAATTTTTTGAATCCCCTCATAAGCATGGGTTTCAAATCTAGAAACCCGGGGTGCCAGTACCACAGGCAGAGGATTAGCCTAGTAAGCTGCGGCGCCGGCCAGAATTTTAATTTTAAAAAGTGAGGAACCAGTTGGATCGTGGACAGCCTGAAACCCCAGCAAAAGATGCAAGAGTGTTCTTGCCTTGCTCACAACGTCTCCTCTGTCCTCCAATTGCCACCGTATCATGTATGTGATTTCACTATGGCCTCTTTTCCTTCTGCTACGAGAGCTCCTGTGGTCCAAACCCGGAAAATACTTTCCTGGCAACACACTGCTTGGCTTGTGTTCACTTCTCGTTTCTTGTCCCAGGACTCAACAGTAAAGAGAAAACAATTTGTTGCTTTGGGAGGGTCAGGGCACAGCCTTATAACCCATCAGGCAGGGATGAATGTGAAATTGGAATGGCCCTGCCATGGCTGGATGGGGGTAAGGAGCGTGAGGCACTGGATCCTGGCTCGTTTCACTCTAACCATGGCCTGGATCCCTGCAAACCTCAGCTAAGAGGCTGAGACAGGCAGTTCCTCCCATGCCTGGCATGCCTGCCACAGGGAGTATGGCTCCCAGGAATCTGAGAGGACAGAGAGAGGGGTAACTCACTGGACTGGACGCCAACAGGAGCTGTGAGGGAACAGAGGCAGAGAGATTACCACAGGAGCTGTGCTTCACTCTTTAAGAAATCGTAACCCGTGAGAACTTCCCCAAAACTCTTTCTTCCTTTTTCCTTCTGTCCCTGACCCCTGCTCACTTTTCCCCCTTGTATACTCTCTTCCTGGCTCTTCTCTTCCTGCATTTCCCTTCCTGCACACACTTCATCTCCCCTCCCTCCCAAACCACACTCTTGTGGGCCTCAGTGCTCATTTTATAATCCAAAACAGTTTTTAAACATAGTGCTTGCCCCTTACTAGAAATTCATTATTTTGCTGGCAATTCCTCAGAAATCTTCTTATTTATTGCCTGCTCTGCCATCTTTTCTTGTTAAAGTGTCCTGATTATTTTGTCTGTGACACGTTGTCCACCTGGTGCAACATAGAAGCCAAAGCCACATTCTCTCACATTCCGCTGACACTATTTTTCCTGTTTCCTACCTTTAGACCTAGTATTGTATCTGAATCCATAAAAGAGTGTCATATTTATCAGCGAAAGCCATGATCTCACCCATGGTTATTCAGCAAGATTTGAAACTTCTCCAAAATCTAAGTGTAAGGCGATGAGAGGTCTTTGGAGTAGAAGTGGTGGTTGGGGCAGAATAGGATTTATGTGGACTGGAGATAGAATTCACCCTAACAGAACATGACTTTGATGTCATTTGAAGAAATTTTCCAAGTTCCTAGAGATCAGAGCAGAAGTAGATGTTAAACAAAGAAAGGCGGCATCAACGTTTGGTAAAGAGATTTACATTTCTTTGATTTTCCTAGGAATCATTCTCTGCTCAATACCCATTTGCAAAATATCTACTGGTACAGAGTTACAAGCTAAGCCTGCCCCTACTCACCTTGGCGGAGACTTGTGCTCAAGAAGAGTGTCTGTGATGCCCAGGCACAGATGTTTTTGTCCTGGATTTACCCTAGTTCTGCAGAACAAGAAACAGTGGCCAGAGCAGCTTGAGGTTGAAGTCAAGAAGTTCTCCCAGGACAGTCAGGTCTGCTGAGGTGCAGCTCAGGTCCTTAGAGCAGGATTGTACACAAATTCAGCATAGGTTTTTATAGAAATAGAGAAAAGGAAGCAGCATAGCTGTTTGCCAATCAGCATGGTCTCATCTCCACAATCATGGGTTCTCAGAAAATAAATGTCCTCTTCTCCTTAACAGAGTTGCTCAGCTGTGTGTACATTGGTCAGAACTGCTTCTTAAAATGTTAGATGTCTTTATCTTATAGCTAAGCTCCACAGCATGTCTTGACTTCACAGAATATGCCGAGTTCTGGGCTTGCTGAGATTAAATAACTTAGTCTCTTTTAAAGTGAAACCTCCCTTCCCATTCATGATACATGGTTTGTGGCACGATTCCTAACACTGCAACACCATGCTAACACTGTGTGGATGCTGCTCTATAGAGGACCAGTGAGACCACATGAAGAGATAGACAGATGCTTGTTAGAAATGATGGTGGGGTTAGGAAGATTTTAGATGGTATAGTGTGTAGTTCAGGGACCCAGGAGGATACAAATCCTGTCCAACCCAAGAGACCTGGAACACCATGAGATGTCCAGGCATATACAAGAAGGAAGGAAGAATATGAACACCCCATGGCTACTTGAGGCTTTAGATCCAGACTATGGTACAGTGATATGAGAGCCCTTAACACACACAGAAGAGATCAGATCTGCTTTCTTAGATGCCAGACTTCAGGAATAAATTTTGGAAGAAAGTCCAAGTATAGGCTGGAAATAGAATCCACCCTAGTGGTTAAAGGAAGGGACTTTAAGCAAAAGACTGCCTTAAAGAGATGTGGACAGGACTAAAGTAACAAAATAAGACAAGAGCCACACAGAGACCAGCCACAGTGGGAAGCTGTTACAACTCCCAGTGTTGAAGAAGCAAGGTGAGGAAGGACTATTAGAACAGCCCAGTGAGAACTGGGACCCCAGAGGAGAGGGGCTTCCAGATGAAGCTGTGATTGGGGAGGACACAGCTGCTGCCAGGTTGAAAGGCCAAAGCTAAGAGGGAGGGGGAAATACCCTGCCTCCCTCTCTGCCTGCTGTCTGCTCCCTCAGTGGTGTCTCCTGGTGATGGAGTCCACCTGTAAGTGGGGTCAGGCTTCCAGGGCACAGAAAAACAGGGGAGGGCAGAGAATGGATTTGGTGTGTGGTGGGAAAGTGGGGGCTCAATGGAGACTAGCCATTATAGCCCTCACTGGGAGAGCAATCTGAACAGCCCTAGAAGCTCCTCCTCAGCAAGAGTAGGTTTTACTCCATTTTGGAGTGTGCTCATCCCCTCCCAGGCCATCAGTGTGTAGAAAGTATTTAGGATGAGGAAAACAGATACCTTGGTCATTCTCAGGGAACTACACTGGGAAGGAAGACTGATAGAAGGATAAATGAGCAAATCAATACTTTACCAGTGATTTCCATCCCAAGTTCCAAAAAGCCTACACTACACAAGGAGAATTCAACAACTCCTTTCCCCCTGGCCATTCTACCCCTGGAATATGAATTTAAGCCTAAGTGTTAAAGCAAATCACAGCTTGGATAGGCTACTAAGTGCAAACTTTGTCTGCTAGAGTGTTTACATGTGGGGTCTGGGGGAAGGAGAAGCTCAGACTCCAGGCCTTGCTGCATGTATGGGGAAGGGAGGTTACTACATAAATTACATCCATATGTCTTTTTTTTAAATTATTTATTTATTTATTTGAAAGGCAAACTAGCAGAGAGGCAGAGGCAGAGAGAGAGAGAGAGAGAGAGAGAGAGGTCTTCCGTCCACTGGTTCACTTCCCAGATGGTTGCAATTGCCACAGCTGGGCCAGGCCAAAGTCTTCCAAGTCTCCCACATGGGTTCTGGGGCCCAAGGACATGGGCCATCTTCCACTGCTTTCCCAAGCCATAGCAGAGAGCTGGATTGGAATTGGAGCAGCTGAGACTCCAAACGACACCCATACGAGATGCTGGCATTGCAGGTGATGGCCTTACCTGCTACACCACATTGTTGGCCTTATCCATATTTCTTGTTTTGTGCTATCTTTGATGTTTCATTCCCCAATACAAATGGAGAATTCAATATTCTGGGCAAGCTTTCAATCAGAAGTAGAGAGATGAAAGTGGTTGAAATCACAGCAATCTTTGAGAAAGGAAGAACAAGATTATGTGACTAAGATGGGGGTGGGTAGCAGGACTAGAGGCAGAGAAGCAATGATGCTGCAGAAACCTTCTGCATGAGAACCAAAGACTTAACGGCAAGACAAGATACTGTCCTGCAGTGGATGGACTGCAAATTCAACTCTTGCTTGGAAAAGTGGCTCTACCTTATTGTGTGCACCTTCTAAATCTTGCTGTAACATATGGGCATTTTGTCCTTCCCAATACACCAACACACACAGATGACAGATTTTGCCAGGCAATTTTGGGCCTCAAAAACTTTTAGAAGTTGGGGCATAGCAGCGAGAACTGGAGCCTGTAATGCTGGCATCCCATATGGACACCAGTTTGAGTCCTGGATGGTCTACTTCCAAATCAGCTCTCTGCTAATGGTCTGGAAAAATCAGTGGAAGGTGGCCCAAGTACTTGGGTCCCTGCACCCACATGGGAGATCTGGATGAAGCTCCTGGCTTCAGCCTGGAGGGAACCAGAAGATAGATCTTGATTTCTCTCTCTCTCTCTCTCTCTCTCTCTCTCTCTCCCTCCCTCCCTCCCTCTCTCTCTATAACTCTTTCAAATAAATCAATAAATATTAAAAAAACTTTAAGAATCTTTCACATTAAGGATCCTTAGTCTGCTGTCCTGTGGTAGCAAAGGCTATACATGATACAGATAGTTAATTATATTTTCAAAGGGCAGAATAATGGAAAACGTAATTTTCTTAGTGGATTATAAAGGCTAACTCTTCTCTTTGTTGATAACATGACAATTTTAAGCCATGAGGGGACACATGGTGTGCTTTTCCCATCTTATTAACAACACAGGAGAATGTAGGAGCTCAGATTTCAGAGCTGCTGTGGTTCCTGTTCTCCAAGACATCTTCCAACTCTCCTGGAGAGGAGACCCAGCTGAGGAAGTCTGGAGCATCTTTCAGTCTAAAGAAAATGGATTTTTCCAACATCCTCCAGCTCCATAGGCATCCTTTCCTCTATAGATGTCTTGTCTCCTCCAATGTGAACGAGTTAGATTAATTCTTGCACATTTTCAAAATGGAATAGTGTGTACTTGTATGAGATGTAAGATTTTTTGTTGTTGTTGTAGACAGATATATAACCAAGTAAGCAAAGTTAGGTTTATAAAGTGGCATAACAGTATGACACTAGTGTATGTCCA